TGAACGATAGTATTCTTGCTAAAACAAATGTTTCACGGCATTTGACGTAAAACGTTTTGACAAATAATTTGTGTCTGATCGGTAAATGTTACCTGAGACAATGATGCCATTTTGCCTTAGATTCTGTCGAGTTTGCCATGGATTTGGCATTCGGCAAAAATTCGATCTCTTTCACATGTATCAAATATGATAACTAATGCAGCTAATTCGTATCTCAAAGGTCCTACAGTGAAGGATGTGTTAACAGTACCGATGTGATATACAAATTCGTTGGATTTCTTTTTAATTTAATTCTACGAAAATGAGTTGTTAGTGAGATTGATCAGATTACAGAAAATGATTTTTGAAACTAACTTGCTTTGAACGAAATTCTTCAACGATTTACTCACATATTTCCGCTTTTACATCTTGATTCGTATTCTTATTTTCTTGATTACAAATGGCTAGGTATTCAATGTTTTTAACATTGTTAAATAATGAAAATTCTAGATTAATATTTTGTTTTTCAATTATACGATGGCGAAATGGAATGTTCAGACGCAAAACTCTGGAATCACAGATACAATGAGAATAAATATATTGAGTGCATTACGTACTTCAATTGAAACACATGGGTCATCAGGAAGGTACGCAATTTGCACCGATACCAAAGGGTGGCTTGAACGAACTTATGGAGAGACTTGGACTGTGATAATTGGTAAAACAGGAGAATGGACTTCTGGTGCGAGCCATTATGATAATATGTTTTTGTGCGTAAAAGAAACTGACTTGAGCTGGACAATTCAGATTTACAAACAGTCAAAATAATATCAAACAGTAAGATTGGTTCTTCAACTTCATCTTTTCTTGAGCAAATAGTTAAAACGATCTCTGAAATCAATAACTCGATTTATCGACACACAACGCAAGAAATTCACGAATTTTTTGAAAAAAATAAACATGGATGGAGACACTATTCAATAATATCAATTGCACGTGATTAGTCACTGATCAATTTTTTTATTTTTTACGAAATGAAAGATTTAATTGTATTACTTTTGAATGAAAATTCAGTAATCATGACATCTAAAGATCTTGCCAGAGATCAAATTCTGTGATTTTGAATGATTGGTACAGAGAGTAGTAGAGGAGGGAAACTTGAATTTGATCGAGAAGAAAAATGTCGAAAATACGAACATTGAAATAAAACTTTGTTGTAAAAAAGGGAATTTTAAATGAAGACTGTTTGGAAAAGTGTGTGATGAAGATGTCATTATTTCACGACAAATATGGACTTTATCTTATTGTAAATTTATGATTCATCTGGTAACTGGACAATTCGTCGCAAGAAAAATATGTCGCACGGACAATTCATCGCGTACATGTTTATTCTAATTTAATTAAGGGAGACTCAGGAGAATGTAGAATAATTGATATAGATAATTGTATGAATAGTGACAAGAAATGTCTTCTGTTACTGAGGAGAATTATTTTATATTTATTTTTAAAATTAATGGGGTTTTTCAGATTTTCCCAAAATCCTATTAGATTATTTATTTTTTCCTTGAGATTCATAACTCAGTCTACGAAATTCGTGGGCTTATTCAATTAATTGAACATAGTCTACTTGATTCAATTACATCAAGCAACACGTCATATTCACTTTCATTAAGTTACATTGCGACCAATTGTCTTGCGACGAATTATCCACGTGACGAATTGTCCGACGACGAATTGACGTAGACTCCAAACAGACCAAAAAGAGAAAACAGAATTAAGCAACGTGATTGGTTAAATCACAATTAAGTCATCTTTTTGAGACGATTTAGTGGTTAATTCTGTTTTATCTTTTTGGTCTGTTTGAGTTCCTAGTACCGATTCATCTATCTCTCACACTATTATTCATTTAATACAAAGAAATGGAAAAAGAAGAAAGAATACGAAACGAATAAGAATCTTCAATCATTTATTAATCGAGAAACAAAATCAAAGTGAGAGCGCCCCCTCTGATTCAATATCTATCATCAACGATGATTGATATTTTATTAATTCGAATAAAGAAGGTATAAACTTGAATGACTATCTTGTGCACCGAAGCCGAAAGGCGCAAGAACAGCAGCATTTCAAAGTCAAATAAAGACGTTGTATGACATATATAGCAGCTACCTGATTACAGCATGTGAACCCCTTGATAGTTTGTCTTTAATTGTGGTAAAAAAAGAAGCTCTTAATCAAGCAGATAGAACATTGTTTAAGCATGGGTTAACAATCATTCCCAAAAAAGTTTTAGATCTTCTATTAGTCTTCTTTTAATAATAAACGTTGTGCTTTAATTAAGTCTAATGGCTGATTCATTTTCACAAAGAAAAAAAATGTATGGAAGTATCATCTCAGTTTCGACATTTTTAGCTTTCGACCAAGTTCAAAATAACCGTAGAGGAGAATCTATAGAAGAGAATCATCTTTCAATGTATGATAAATATAAACGATTCACATAGAAAAGTCGCGTTAGCTCATAGTTGGTTTCTATTTGATTCTTTTACATGATGAAAATACATCTCTCATTATTCGAAATAAAACATAGATTTGATCGAGATATGTTTGCATCTAGTGCAAGGGTCGTTATAAAACAGAGCACATTTCATTCTACCTCTCTCGTAGTTTCAATCCACAAAAATATGGATATAATGATTAATTTATGAATCTATATGAAACATGTACCGAAGAGATTAGTAATAACGATCTCTTTGAACAGTCTCTAGTGAAACAAAGATGTGATTTTAGATTGAGAGAAAATCAAATCTCATATTTATTTCTCATTTGTATGCCAATTTATCAGATAGATCTCAATTATTCCCAGGTGAATGAATCCTATGACGGATCCTATCACCGAACAGAATCCGATGGGATTCCGAGTTACGGATTGACTGTCGGTTCCGACGGAAAAAAACATTTTCTTAATTAGGGGGTGAATATGTATATTCTCTCATAAGAACACTAGGGCCATACGTTCATGTCGGATTCCGTTAATTTTCAACACTGGATCCTATCGAATTCCTACATCAAGGATCCGACTGTAGGTCCTGATCCCGGAATCCTATAGGATTTCGTTGGTTTTATTGGAATCCATGGATATTTGGTATATTCACGGTCTGACCCTTGTCGGAATCCGATAGGATCCTAGTCTCGGAATGACTCTCCTGGGTTTTTCATGTCATATTTTAATCAGTAGAATATAGCTACAGATCGTCTCTGTGGAATCGTAACCAAAAGTTTCTTGTTTATTCGTTCAACTCACTGGCATGCAGACGATTTCTCGACTAGGTTAATAAATATTCATGTCATAAAAACAATGTCATGCTCATTTTGACCTTTATGTTGTGATTCAATGGCTATCTCAGTCGAACTCTTTTTCAGACAATATTGATATCGCCTTCAATATGGATGTGCCAAAAAAAGCGAAGGTTTCTTTAACCTATACTTAGCAGAAAACTGTGATTATAATTACTTCTTCTCTTAGAGTATAAATTCGCCATAGGAATCACGTACGATTAAGAAAACTCTTGGATAATTTAACAATAATGAGAAACAACATGCTGCGATTCTATTACTAATGCAGAATTAACAAATCGATGGATTAACCTTGATTTTTTTCGCAGGGATATTAATAACAATTAGCAGAGAATATTTTTTAAATTATTTCGATTCATTCAGTACTCTTCATTTGAGTTACGGTCAACTATTAGTCTTTATATTCGAATGTGTATGTAAGTAATCTCGTGGGAAAAAAATCTTAAAACGCATTGTTATTTATTTAGATTAATCAATGTATCAGTCTGCTTTTCGTAACAGAAAGAACCAAACACAACTAGAATAAGATGCATAGAAGTCATATTTTGAAGATCTATATTAATTTATTCGAAATAATCTTTCATCATAGACAAAATCAAATTTTCCGTGCTTGCACGCTTAAGTTATTTTACTGAGACAAATGAACATCATGCGTGAAATCACTAAAAATATCTTTAATGATGACTAAACTTAGCATTTCGAAGGTCAATCTTAGGTACAGAGAATTGACAAAAAGAGCATGAGTAGTAGAGAATCCAAACATGCAATATTTCTGGAGCAAGCAACGTCATAAAATCTAAACTTTGTTAAGCTATTTCTTCCAGCAATTATAGCAAAAATAATTTCTCCCAAATCAAAAACGTCCAGCCCAGACACACATTGTCTATATTGCTCGAATTCACTTATTTAATGATTAATATAATTGTTTTAAAAGAAATTTTCTCTGAAACATTATCAGCTTTATATTTTGATAATAAGCGAAAGAAAAGAATAAGATTTTGAATCTGATTTTTATTTGTTTTTTGAAGACCTTCATATGTCACATGATGAATCCATTTCCGTTCTACTAATTTTGTTTTTTCTGCCATGCAATATTTAACATAATTCATATATATATATATATATATCTTTGTAACTAAACGATAGTTGAAATATGCTCACTTATTTTATTCTCATAATAGTAGCATTACCCACTTGAGATAATTGTTCAGAAACCGCTAGCATCAGAAAATAGTAAATGAAGTGGTTTTTGATAGTAATGTGCATGGCAATAGAATAAGATGGGAAAGAAAAAAAGAAAGAAAAAAAAGCATGAGCGTACGACGGAAAATCAAATTCCTCGTCACTTTTTCTTTTTCTCTTTCACTCTTCTTATCTTTTCACCCCAATGCATTTTGTCGTGCATCAGCAAAACACAATGATCGAGTTGCTTTTGCCGTATTAGTTCTTCTTCGTCTCGTCACATCTGAAAAAAAAATGCCATTCATCTTCTTGTTTTCTTCTACTCGTTTTTTTTCTCTCTCTCTCTCTCTCTCTACATATATATAAATATATATATTCCAGCTATTCCATTTTTTCTTCTCTTGACAGAAAGTCAAGTTGAATAGGGTATGTGTTCATTTACTTCGTCTCACAACGATTTAGACACACGTGTATATTAAAAAAGTAGAATGAATTTTAACTTAAAAGCAGCCGGTACCTTACTGTCTCGAGCTAAGCAGGTATTTCATAATAGAAAAAAAATGAATTCATTATTTAAATGCTTCATTAATATAGTTTACAGAAGAAAAACTTGGCCAAGCAACTGATAGAACAGAATATGATGACAATTTTGATCATTTACTATTAGATGCTGATCGAGCAAAAGCATGGACTGAACGATTGATATCGAATGTGAGCATTTTTCTTCAACCAAATCCGAGTAAGTCGATATTTTTCGAATCAACGAGTAAAACTTACTAAAGAGAATTTGCTTTTTTTTCCCTAGATGAACGCCTTGAAGATTTTATATTAACGAAATTTGATCAAAAAACAAACAAACAAAATATAGTTGAACAATTAGGACAATGTATGGTCGAAGCAGGAAATGATTTTGGTTCATCAACACAGTATGGTACGATGAATTGCTAATCTTTTCTCGCTCAATCATTTTTCGATTAGGTTCGACATTAATAAAATGCGGTCAAACTCATCAGAAATTAGGTCATATCTATAAAGATTTTATACAATCATCAGTCATGGGTTATATGCAACCATTGAAAAGTTTTCTTGAAGGTGAAATGAAATCCATCACAGTAAATATTCCTATTTGAATCATCTGGCAGGTTTTATATTTGCTTATTTGTTTGTTTCTATAATTTTAGAAAGAACGTCGTACATTAGAAATGAGACGCCTTGATCTTGATGCGGCACGATCGAAACAGAAAAAAAGTAAAATGCTTAGTCGCAACAACAATACACCAGTAGCCATGGCTGATGTGAGTATTTTTCATATTATGTTGTATTGAATTCCGAGTAAATTAGACCCATTGACTTTGTATGTTATTTGCATATGAAAGTTGTAGAAGAACAAGAATTCATTCAGCATCTTTTTTCTTATCCTATCAATCAAATATTGTCATTTCAATAGATTCTGATGAATTTTTTAGAGTTCTGATGCTGATGTTCGTCATGCACAAGCCGAGTTCGAACGTCAATACCATATAACACGCTTAACGCTCGACGGTTTACCTAATGCTCAAGTAAATAGTCTCTCTCTCTCCGTCTATGGACGTACATGCTTTATTTCATATCCTTTTATTTTTCTTTTTCTTTTTATAGAATCATCATTTAAGCTGTTTATTTGACTTAATCGAATCTGAATTACAGTATCATCAAAAATCAGTACAAATCCTTGAAGAATTTCATAAAAAAATTGGGTAACGTTTTTCTTTTTTTTTCCTAATAAAACAAAAAACTAATGTCCTGATTATTCAGCTTGTCAAAACCAATACCCCATGCATCGCTACCTCGTTTACGCACTGCAATTGTTAAATTTGATTACGAGGCGTTAGATTCCAATGAGCTTAGTGTTTTAGCAAAAGAAGTAAGAAGATTTTCGTTGAATTAAAAATTGTTGTCATGCTACGTCATTTTTAGACAGTCAATATTATATCAGATGGTGATGATTCAGATTGGGTAACAGTCGAAAAACAACTAACAAAACAACAAGGACGAGTGCCACGAGCCTATTTACAGATTGATGCATTGCTCTCTTGATGCATTCATATTTGTTTGCTGTTGTTGTTGTTGTTGTTGTTTTTTGTGCGTTTTTCGTCTTCCAATTATTTGGATCCTACTTCAATGTTGATTCTTGCTTCGTGATATATTCTGATGGCAAACGCACATGGATTATGCAATCAAAAGATTATTTATTTGATGCATTTTTAGTTTTTCGACATATTTTCATTTGTGGTATTTTTTAAATAGAAAATAAAATAAAATAAAATAAAATAATACATGCAACCCTATTTCATAGATCCTACTCTCAGTTTATTACTACCGATGTACTGCACTTCTAATGGTAGGAGACATGCATTAAAAGGAATAGATTCCTATGAATTTCTTGGTCCCCTTATTTTTAAGAAGCAGGCATACCGATCGCGTGTCTTGTAAATCACTAATATAAACCGACGGATTTCATCTTCCTATTTCATGATAACGGTAAATAAAAAAAAACCTGCACCCTTTACATTAAACTATTCTCATTAAGATTTTGTTCTCCTTGAAAAAATCTTGTGATTGAAATACATGAATCAGTTTTCTTCGTATTCTTCAGGGATAGGGGAAGAGCAAAGCATTTATTTAGAAAAATGCATTGTACTCGCAGAAATAAGTGAAGACGTCGAATTTGTTTTAGGACATACCAACCGCAATTGGATCTAAATAATACGCATAGTCTTGTGTCAAAAGCAATTAATCAGCCGGGAGAGTTCCCCTTTCGTCAAATATTTACACCAAGACAAAAACTCACACGCAAACCAATTCTTTTGTGTATAGTTTAAGAAAAATAAACGCACACGCATACATAATATTGCGGAAAAATTTTTAATCATTATCTAAGATAGAAAAAGTTATATAGTTGACTCATTAATGAATCAAAAAACAATATAATTGGTTTCACGATAGATTAAATATCATGAACTCTAAGTCACAAGTATCAATAGTGCAAGTACCACCTAGTAAAAACTTTGTACTCGTAAAACAAATAGATTAGTTTTTAATTTTTCCTTTTATGTACATGCCAAGTTTATATCACGCTTACCGATCCAAGCGTAATAATAAACAATAACGGAGGATGTTGACTGTCAAACAACTCTTTCAGTAGAATCGTGACAGATGCTACGTTTCATAATTATGATTATCAAATTGCTTTGGTCTTGTTTTTTGATCTTGAATCGTCTCTATTCTACGTTGATGTATTGAATATGAAGTGGTGTGACTTTCAATGTACTGTTGTTGTCATTTGGATGATACTTGTTGAGCCAGTTAAGATAAGTTGTTTCCTGGTAAGCATCTTATGGTGAAGTGTATGTAAAAAAGGTTGGACTTGTTATTGAGAAAAACAAAAACTATCATTCGCTGTGATTAATAATAATAAGCATGAGAATAATGAAAGTAAAAGACAATCTAATGAATATTCTCATTCAACCCCCTACAGAATAGAAGCGCATGGGTGTCTCTGTTCCGCAAGCTATAATTTTATAGCAAAGCATGCCTTGATGCCAGTTTTTGCGTTATTTGATAGAGACATGTTCATCCTTTCATTTTTCATTAGCTAACCTTGATTTTCAACCAAGAAATCTAACCTAGGGGGCGGGCTTCTATTCTGTGTAGAGGTTTATGAAAAAATGTTTGTTCTCATGACGCGCCTATTGAATTTATACTCTTGCTATGTGAATAAAAAAAAATTAATAATCGACACGATTGGGACAAGTCTCTTTTTAATAAAAAGAATATATTTTTCACTTGAAGGACCTCATAAAAATAAAGAACTCGATAAAATTCATGTAGCTGATAAAGCTCAACAGGACTCGAAAGAAAATGTTTTTTGTTTTTGGGTTCCATATTGCATCCAAAACTTCTATTTATGCATGGTGTTCCCAAAACAAACTGTCTATAGTTTGCTAAAGATTTCATTTGAGAGATATATTTATTTACATCCATCCAAAAATTCCACTATGCTATTTTGATGTTTCTACAATGTATAGCTTTCGATTTTAATTCTTCTCGTTATAATTATCTTTCAGAGATCGCTGGCACCACAGAAATGACCGTACACTAGCGACAACTTATTCCTCAGAGAACCCGTTGAACCTCAAGCATTTTACTAGAAAAACAAACAGTTCAAATTAGCATCAATAAGTGTTTTCTCATTTCATAAGGTATTGCTTATGTTAAATGTGTGTGATAAATTTGAAAATATCTGTCGAGAAAATTTCTCATGGGTCAAGAAATAGCTTTTCAGTATGAATTTCATTGAAAGGATCTCTATTAGAAAGAAATAACAACAGAAATACTAAATATAAAAGTGAAAATAATACGAGCTATAGTATCCATGTAAGAAGCCATATGGTAAATAGAGAAGCTTAATAATTTTCGTTATTTATACTATTGATAATGTATATGTTTCACGATAGTAATAGTTGAAGAACATTTGAACTATGAACTTAGTTTGATTCTTGTTTGTAAACATTGTATAAACATATAACAAAAATAACTCGTGCAGTGAAAATTTTCGTTGTTCTGTCAATGAACGCTTTTCATGCATAACATACAAATTAACTTGACATGAGCAGGTATGCTTTAAGTTGAATGATATCAAAATCATCTGATTTAACTTTACGATAAGTAATTATGATAATACTATCAAAGTAAATACCGTCGAATTTTCTTTCATGTAAAGACTTGATGAATAGAACCCATTAAAATAATATATCAGTTACTGGAATAGATTTGATACCAGGAGCATATGTATAGAGGCTAGTTTGCTTCGAGCTATCTATATCTAATTATCATGTACCCTAATTAATTTTGAGGGGAAGCATCATATCCTGTATAAGAATTTTATCATTGTAAAAATGTTTGTAAAACGATTGCTGCTGGTCTTGTTCTTGTTTTTTTGAAAATGCATCGTAACTTACGTTGATAGTTTTTACTTTCCAAAAAGGCTATGTAAATTTTGAAGAGTCACTCAGTGTCGACCAACTAATTTGACTATTTAATTGAAAAAAAAATAGACGACAGACAAAGAAGACTGCCATATTACGAAAAAAAAGAAGAAAAGTAACTGTAGCGCGTCACCGGATGCTAACTAGCTATAGTAAATGACGCCTTTATATATATTTTATGGGAAGATTGCCTGTGAGTGTTTTTTTCCTATTCTTCTTTTATTTCTGTATTTTCCATTCCTGCTTATAAAGCTTACATTCACATAGAACAAAAGCGAACAATCATCTTCTCATCACAGTAGATTTACGTTTGTATACAGTTTGTCAGCCTGATAGATCAGGTAGACGTGGAAAAAAGAAGAAAGATTTCTTTACTCAATTTTTAATACTATGCAGAATAGCTACAGGGCAACCTTCCTTTATTTATTCATTCATTCATTCATTCATTCATTCATTCATTCTTTCTTTTCATCCATTCATTCATTCGTTCGTTCGCCTGCTTGACTGCCTCATGAATATATGGATGTGTTATTGTTGTGTTGATTTCAAAAGGAGAGGACATACGAACAAAAGGGACGCACAGGAGGCGAAGTGAAGAGTATCCTTTATACTCAACAACGACGACGATACATAAAGACAACTCATGTGGGTCAAAAAAGAAAGAGAGAGAGAGACAGGGAGAGAAAAAAAGAAGAAAAAAAAAAGGAAAGACAGGGCAACTGCCATTTCAATCAACCGTATCTAAGCGGCTTTTGTGTCGTTTTTTATTTGTGGGTGCTTTGAAAGCACAGAGAAAAAAGAAACTGCTGTTGCTGCTACAACTACTGGTGAATTGAATTCAATGAATTGTGTATGGCAATGTTAGAAGATGAATAGCATTGTCGACAAGCGCTACCATTCGTGCCATGCGCACTATATAAATACACATTCACAATTCAAAGAGCGCCGAGAACAAGAAGAATGGGCTGACTGGTATTATATCTTCACATATAAAAAACGACGGCTTCTAAAATAGTAAAACTACAAGCTTCATGTTTATTATACTTCAGTGTCGAATGTCGCTTGGCATTAGCTAAGTCGATAGAATAAAAATGGTTCGTACATCGACGTTAACAATAATTATTCAGGTAAGATTGAAATATTCCACACGTTTATTAAGACGTGTTAAGATTGACACCGTTCAGAGAAAAAGATAAAAATTTGGCAGAAAAGGAAATTCCTAATTTCAAGTGTGAATATGCGTTTAAGAAAAATTTCACACGCTGGTTCCATATGTTATTTAGTTAAACTATAATATTTCCATAGACAATTGAAATAAATAAGGAAATGGTAGTAGTAAGATTTTGTATATATGTTCTATTTTTCGCTAGAGGTCAGAGCATATCAATTGCGCAAAAATGTATTTAATGTGGTGCGAAGCACAGCATTTATGTAGTCCGTCCCAAATTTTTTTTTTTTTTTTTAATTATTTTTGTTTTAAGTTCTCGACGTACGCATCTTTTTCGTCATTTTGTGTCGCGATGATCTCGAGAACGGAAATTCATAGAAATGTCGTTAAAACGTGAGATGGAAATATTCAAATTGAACTTCTTACATCTTTTTTCGAATCTTCAATCTGCAATTTCGTTCGTTCATAAATGTGCTTCCAAAATGACGAAAATGAAAGAAATTTGTTGCAAGATAATTAAAGTGACGTCATGAACATATGTTAGCCACTACAGTCTATCAATTTACAGCTGATCTAAGATAATGAATCATACAGATAATTAATCGATCAATCGAAATCGATCCTTAAGAATGTATCGCTAAGTAAGAATAGAGTTTTCTCGGCGATGAATTTCATGATGTCGCCATAAAAAGCATTCAAGATTTCTCTGAATCGTAGATTTTTCGTGAAGATCCGATTTGAGCTTCGCATCGCATTTCGTATTCGAGTGAAACTTGAATACCATCTAGTTTTTTATTATTTTTTACTTACTTGACGTACGCATCACAAGTCGTCATTTTGTGACGCAATGATCTCGAGAACCGAAAATCGTAGAAAACTCG